CTGACCTGGTCTAGGACCGAATAGCTCGGGAGAAAGCTGTTCCACCTTTGGCACAGCTCAATTGGAAGTATATCGTCCCAACCTAGATCCTGAAGCCGAATCTCTTGCAAAAAGATTTCGGCACACACAACAAATGGAGCGAGCCAGCCTGCTGAATCAAACAGCTTGGCAATTTGGGAACATACTTGGTGTTTCGTGGGGGTGATTTCCGTTGCTAAGTCTTGTGGGACGAAGAAGAACTCATCGGACGTCGTCTTCCATCGTACGCCGAGAGTTTTGGCTGTGCTCTCAGTGTCGATCTCGAGAAAGTCTGTTGTCAGAAGATGATCGCTTTGGATATGAGCTAATACTTCTTTGTGGTTGGAGGTCCATTTACTCCATGGAAAGTCCTCGGAACCTAGACCACTTTGTAGCTCGCGAACAACGAGCTTAGCGTCCTCGGCGGAGTCAGCTCCCGAAAGTACATCATCTACATACATATGATTTGGCATGACGTTGCTCGCTCTTGGATGGCTGAGCTGCACGTCAGTTGCCAGCTGTTGCAGGACTCGAATGACCAGGAATGGCGCGCAATTGACTCCAAAAGTTACCTCTGTAATTCGAAATCTCCGGATCTTCGGATCTACTCATATCTGTCGATACATTTTCTCGATATCGGCACTGTAGACGTAACGGAAATATCGCCACTTCAGGATCTGGATAGTTAGATCGGACTGTAAGACTGGGCCAGCATTTAAACTGACCCCATTCTCTGAATGGCTGGAGGCATTGAAAACCACACGCAGTTTGTTGGTTGTACTGTCCGGTTTTCAGCTGACTGTCCCTCTTTAGGCGTTGCTCGGTTCTTAGAAACTACGACAACGCGAAGGATCTGGAGTGACCGAGGGCGGATTTTACGTTTTTAGGATAACGAAACGGAAGACTTACGACGTTACCTGTCGTTATCGTCTCTCGTAGTCGTTCGGAGAAAATTTTCCTTACATGTCAAATCGGAAGATTTTGTCACTTTTACTGGCAGATCCTCCACCTCCCAAATTTGGTGAGAAGTTTATCCAGGGACGTGTCAACCGTGTGGGAGATTCGTGTGGAAAAAACGGAAATCTGATTTTCCCTTGGAGCGGGAACGGGTCCTGTTAGGATCCACCCGAAAATGGTTTCTTGACCGAGGAGAGAGCCACAAATGTTCGGCCGGCTGCCGCTTAGGAGAATGGATGGCAGTACGTCGGCTCCGACCAGAATATCTATCTGTGCGCTCTCGTAGAACTTTGGATCCGCTAGTCGCAGTTCAGAAAGATCCCGCAGAAACTGTTGCGGAATCGGACAAGATGGGAGGTTTCCGGCTAATTGAGGAAGAGCATAGGCCGTCGTGTTTATTTGCAAGCCAGGCCTGGTTGGAGAACGGATAGTAAACTGACAGAGCTTTTTGGATTCAGCGGATACTGTCTGGTTTAAGCCCGATACTTGGACTCGGATTACTTGGTGAGACAACCTAATTAATTTGAACAGCCGCTCAGAAATAAAGGTTGCCTCCGATCCTGAATCTATCAAGGCACGAGCTTTAAAATGCGAATGTGACATATGTCAATTATGGCGGTGCCCAGCAAGACGGATCTATACCCCGTCGCGAAGTATTTTGGACTGTAGAGTCAGTGAACCCGGTAGCGGTGGCAACTGGTGTATTTGGTCTTGATCTATGTCTCGGGGAGGGATTCAAAGGCGATGGGGAGGAGTTGCCTCTGTGTAGTGTGTGTGTTAGTTCGGGTGCGGGCGGATCTACGGATATGCCTGGGACTACTGCAGGTGGAATAGACAACTTGTTATTATCACTTCCAACGGACCTTTTAAAAAATTGACCATTTTTGGGTCAGAATCTGCTCGCCTTTGTTAATGTCGAATAAATAGGAAAACTGGCCCACTTCTGAAACAGTGGAACGAGGTGTCGACCTAAAAAAGTCGTGGATCGGAGAAATAGAAATTGGAGCACGTACCGAACTGGTTACTTTGTGGAATTAACCCCAATGATACGGATTAGGAACGGTGAGTAAGGAGTTCGTATATCACCCTTGGAGAAAAAATACTATGGTAATTAAACTTTTTGGTATATGTATATTTCAATATTGTATAATTGGGATCATGTTTGGTTTTTTTTAGTGCTGGTATTATTTTTGCCTTTGAAATAAATTGAGGGGGGAAAATACCAAATATGTGTTAATATGTATTATAATCCGCCGTTATTTAAACTTTTGAGTGAAGAAAAATACCAAAGTATGACAGTAAGATGTTGGCCGGAGGATGTTATTTGTTGACTTTTTAGTACTACTGTATTCTTTTTATTTTATTTAATATTCCGAGGGAAAAAATTCTAAAATATACAAAAAAAAATATTGGTGGATCGATAAAATAATTTTTACGTAGTAAATACCAAGTACCAAGTAAATACTAAATATTTTTGTGATTGTTAAATAAAACAAAAGCCAAAAAAAATGTTCATGTCGGTTGGTGTAATTTTTTTTTATTATATTTAACCGGATGGCCGACGGAAAACTTTAATTAGGGACGGTGAAAAATAAAATTATATGTGAATGTATGTAGGTATGTGTGTATGTAGATACCCTTCAGTTCCAAAAAAAAAGTTTCACTTGTGAATCACCTTGTGAATCCCGTGGGACATGTCCTCTTGCACAAGTGAAGAACAAGTGACGCTCCATATAGAAAATTGTATGGGATGTCCGCATTTTCACAAGTGAAAATTCAAATGAAAATTTTTCGAAGTCCTACGGGAATTCACTTGTTCCTTATACTCATTTTTCGTATGGCCTGTCACGTGCCGGTGACTCGTCCCAAGTGAATCACTTGGGAAAATCAGAATTTTTCCTTGAGTTTTCACTTGTGAAATCACTTGCAAGGGACACGTCCCAAGTGAAACACTTGGGAAAATCATAATTTTTCCTTGAGTTTTCACTTGTGAAATCACTTGCAAGGGACACGTCCCAAGTGAATCACTTGTGAAAATCAGAATTTTTCCTTGAGTTTTCAATTAAAAAAATATAGAATTTAATTCATTTCATTTTAATTCATTTTAATTATATGGTACTATTTAGATTTTCAAAAATTGTACAATTATTGTTTCTGTTTTTTTGCTTCGTAAGCTTATTTTTAACGTTAGACATCGCCGTTCTTAAACCTTTGTCCGGGTCCTCTGAATCCTTGGCCAACGCTCCTGAAAAAACATATGTTTAAAAAATGCGTTTTATTTGTTTAATTGTATATTTACCTTTTATAGCTTGTTGCAGAATTTTTATTGGCACAAAACATTTCGTCATCCACTTTCGGCTAACGGAACCCATTGAATACCTTCAAAATTTACGTACTTTAAACTAAGATCAATGCACAACATCTTAAACTTAATGTAGCACTTACCTGACTTTATTATATTAACTAAACGATTAAAGTAACTCTGCTGCGCACCATTAAAATGGATGCTTCCCTTTCAATCACTCAAACAGAATGCACCAAGTCTTCTCACCCCTTTACTAGATTTCTTTTGTTTTCTCTTCGCTGTTGGCGCGTGCCACTGCACCTATACCCTTTCTAAAGTAAAATATATCCGACTATATAGTTTTTACTTCTTGAGTAAAAAATACAATACGATTTTTTTTTAAATGTTAATACTTAAATGTTTTAAATACTGAAATCAATTTTAACGGACTAAATTTCTATAACTTAACTATAAAATTATATTGTAATAAGAATGTATAATAAGTAAATATAACATTATAAGTAAATTCAATTTACTAAATTTTACTATAATCAAATAGTTTACTTTTATAAAACAATATTAGTTGTTTTTTTCGATACACAATAATGCTCCTAGAATATTAGGGCATTCACATGTCGCTTCTTCACGAAAATTTTTCCGCCGAAATATTAGTCGCTAGCCGAACATAACGGAGAGACGCAAAAAAAATAACGGACCAGCCGAAATTTGTCTCTGCGAGCGCGGAGTGCAGGCAGATTATAAGACAAGAAAGAGAGGGAAATATCCGAATATCTGCCTCTCTTTGTTGCACGATCGTTTTCGTGGGCAGTCTTCTACGCTGCGCCGACTGCTCTGCTGACGTCAACAGCGGCACAGCGTTTTAGGCACAAAAAAAGCTTTTTGCCTTGAGCCATGTCACCGCGTCCCTACTGCAGAACTGAAGGGTATGGATATGTAGGTAGGTATTTATGTATATAGATATGGATATGTATGTAGATATGGATATGTATGTAGACATTTATATGTATGTAAATATGTATGTATGTAGATATGTTCGAAGGTTTTAAATTTATTACTTAATTATTGCCGGCGGGTATGTGTTGTGGTGGACGTTTTCGATTTATTTGTATGTGGACTGTATTTGGAAAAACGAAAAGAATATGTGAAAGTGCTTTAGAGGCTGCGGATATACAGTGAGAAAAACTTGGAAAGTATTGGGTGCCTGAATTGGCAGAACACTGGAAATTAAATAATTCTCACTGTATGCTTGGCATATATTTGCACAATATTTTTTCTAAGCTTGGAATTTTTTTTCTTGATTTTATATAAGTGTTTGTATGTATGGATGAGCCGCAAAATGCAATAAGAAAAGGAATCGGAAAATATGGCCGCACGTAGCAAAAGGAAAATCGAAGAAAAAATGGCGAAGTAATTTATTAATTGCCGTTGTCGGATTTAATCGGACTTGGATTTTGGACATATCATACAGAAAGTCAAACGAATTATATTTTCGAGTGGCTGACTGCAGACCGGCAATTAATAAGATGACAAAGCTTTACTTATCTTGTTTCAAGATCCGGCTTGAAGGACCAAAATGTACGCTGGATGGGTAGTGGGGTACCGTCGGCGCTGGTAGAATGGCGTGGGAGGCGGCGGTGGGAACTGGACTGCGTCGAGCTGTAGGGGAGAAACCACACGATACGCGAAGTGCCCCGTTGACCGAAAGAAATTACGCAAAGTGTTCACTTTACAAAATAGGCGGGGGAGCGACCGCGGTTTATTCTTATGTACTGCCAGAATCTAACTTAACTGATTAAGTCTAAGCGTAGTTCCGCGGCAGACCGGCAGAGCGAGAGAGCGGTGCAGTAGGAGAGCGGTGCAATTGGATAGCGGGGCCAGATTCGCCGGACAGTGGGCCTGAACACAGTATCATTTGCCAAATAAATCTTCTTTATCCATTTTAAGGTTATGTCCTAACAATTAGAGTTTCTCTTGATCTTGATGGACTCTTCTGGACTCACCAAAAAATCCCTTTTAGAAGATGAGACTTTATAAAATATATTCATTTGCAAGGCTACTTACGTGTTGGCTCTATCAAGAAGACAACACGAGCTTTTTTACAGGGTAAGATTACAAACACATAATACAAACCACACAGACTGGAATTCATATTAAACATTTGAGTAATATTGTTCAGTATTCCACATTAAGTCATTTAAAAAAATTTTTTTTTTTCTGATACATTAAAACATGATACTTCCAAGAGTATATTTTAATATTCTATTTACTTTACACAATCGATCCATTCGATCTTTTCGCTTCCAAAAATGGATTTAATCGATTAATAGAACTTAAATGGTTGAATTAAAAACAAAAGAGAAAAAAGGCTTACAAATCTTATTTTCTTAAAAATAATAATAAAATAATGTTTTGATATTGTATTTAAAAATAGATCATTCTGTTTTTTTAGAGATCATATACACATTCACAGTCCTGCCACCAACTAGCAACCTATATAATTTAAAAGAAACAAATTGTAAATAAATAATAGACAAAAAATATAAATATTTCGACTACAAACTTCGTTTTAAGACGTGTCACATCGAATTTCACAACAAGTTCCAATGTAGCATGGCCAAAAGAATCGATTCCCAAAAAAAAAGAATCGATTGTTTGGTCTGGGGTAAAGAATCGATTAAGTCGAATCGAGATCGAATCGGAATCCAGATCTACTCCTTCACTGCGTTGCGAACTTCTGACTGAAATCATTATACCCACTGTATAAAAATAACGTAAAAGTAAAAGAAATCCCCCACCCTTCCGTTGGTGCCCCTTGGGACGTCTAGGAGGCACAACCCATCATTAACTGCCGGTATAAGCTCCTGGCGGTCTAGGGCCGCTCTATCTTGGACGAACAAGGCAATGAACAAGATTTTACCAAAAAAGTACAATTCTGCCCAATCATTAGAGCTGCAATAAAGATGAAATCATGTACAAACCCCAATTCAATGGCCGCGTCCAGCAGAACAACATGATACCTGATCACTGATGGATGGAATTCATACGATAATTCTGCTGAACGCACATGAATACTACTCATGATGCAAAAATTCTTGCATCATGATCGGTAAAAAAAAAGTGCGCTACTTTTTCGTGATACATCATACATTGCACCTCCGTGTATCGATGAGTAAAATATCGATAAGAATTAACATAATTATTATTAAAAAACCATGAAGTAAGCTACGTTCTGTACAACTGTTCAGGCCTTTTTTACGTGTCCTCGATTACTGTGTGCAGTGTTACAGTTGCGTAGCAACCGATTTCGTTTTTATAAAAGCATTTAAGTATATATATATAAACAGTGATTGTTGCACTACGACCAATTTAAAAAGACATTTAAATTGCATAGTGGAGTTTTTCAGCTCATTTGTTTTACTTTTAACTTCGTTATGTATCTGTACTGATCCATCAGTTCTCAATTCAATCATGCAATTTAAATGTCTTTTTAAATTGGTCGTAGTGCAACAATCACTTTATTACTGATTACTGATGGATCAGTAATCAGTTATCATGTTGTTCTGCTGGACGCAACCAATGCTTTATTCTTAATTTTTTTAGTTTTTCACATGCAATAAAGTGCTGCAAGCAAATAAAATAAACGTAACTTATATTAAAGGAACTTAATTAGTGCCTTGCGATCTAAAAACAATGCTGCCACTAATAAGTTTAGAACAAAATATAAAAAAATTGCATATAACTGTATAAATAGCATTCAGAAATAAAAATGAATTGTCTTAAGTTAAGCCTAGTACTCACATCGACGAAAACCGCGACCTAACCATAGGAGTGAGCTAGAGGCAAACAGGCGGCTAAAGTTTTTCGTCGGGTCTGTTTTTCAGCGCGATACTCAGATGAGCTATGGAAATACCAGAAAAAATACCAAATATCGCGAGTGAATTTTAGATGAACCCCGTTAGCCGCGGCCCAAAGAATAATAAATTTAATCTTTGGCGGTGTTCGTGCAGAAGCGGTGGGGAATTTAAAAATTAAAAATGGTAGAAAAACACCAAAAACGGCTAAAGGAGGTCAGTGCAAATGAAAAAGGACGCCTAATCCAAGCTGTTGCCCATTATTGGGGGACTTCACCGACAGGAAGCAATACCACTGCGGGGCAAATCCGCAGAATAATTGAAGCGGTTTAGAAGATCCCCTAGAGAATCCCAGTGGGATGGAACATGGGACATCGCTCGATCTCCGACGAGCTCTCCATCGAGGACTCCACCTCCATTAGCTACTTGACAGGTAAAGCGGAGAAGGAGGACGCGCTGGCTTCTATAGGGAGGAGAAAATAAGGTCGCCCGCTAAGGGACATCACCAGCTATTATTGGGCAGCCTATTGGGACTCGGTGCTGGACTACAGATGGCTCGGGAAAGATGGCGAAGCATCCGTGGGACGAGAAGGAAGCCTTAATTTTCTTATTTACATAAATAAAAACATTCGTTAAATATTTTATTTAATTTTATTTTAATTTCTTTGTGCACCAGCAGACTCTTTTTTTTAAATTGCTCCAATTGATTTGTTTTCCGTTTGGCAACAAGCCCAGCTGCTTGACAGTTCGACCATACCACATGCATTGCGGGTGAACTTTGACAACTTCTGTCACACTACAAAGTATTAGATTTTTCGACTAGTGAAACTCTTAGCCGATCTGTGTACTAGGCTTTATATTGAAGTTGTATTAAATATGTCTTATTTTACTGTAAGTCACACTATCAATTTCCGACAATTGTTTACCTATCTAGACGTTTGTAACATGAAATTAAGCATATTTGTTATTTAAAATATAAAGTTTAAAGTTAAAGCCCAGTACTCAGATCAGCTAAGAGTTTCACTAGTCGAAAGATCATATTCTTTGTAGTGTGACCCAAGTTTTCAAAGTTCACCCGCAATGCATGTATCATGGTCTTTCTGTCAAGCAGCTTCGTTTTTTGAACGGAAAACAAATCAACTGGAGCAATTTAAAAAAGAAGAGTCTACTGGTGCACAAGGAAATAAACATATATATAAATAGAATGTTCAACGAATGTTTTATTTATGTAAATTAGTCGTATAAAGCTTTTTCCCGTCCCACGGATGCTTCGCCATGTTTCCCGCGCCATCTGTAGTCCAGCTCCGAATCCCAATAGGCATATTGGACCTTGAGGAAGTGGAAGTCGGAACGGGATTGTTCCGCCTGATGCTGCATATAGTCGCCCAACATCCTGCTAATGGCTGGTGATGGCTCCTCCAGCTGGTCCTTAAGCCAAGTACTCAGATCGACGAAGACCGCGAGCTAGCCATAGGAGTGAGCGAGAGGCTTTTTGTCGGGACTGTTTTTCAGCGCGGTACTCAGATGAGCTAAACAAATACCAGAAAAAATACCAGATTTCTCGAGTGAATTTTCGATTAACGCCGTTAGCCGCGGCCCAAAGAATAAGAAATTTAATCTTTGGCGGTGTTCGGGCAAAGGCGATGTGGGAACTAAAAATTAAAAATGGAAGGAAAACCCCAGATGAAATAGGACGCCAAATCCAAGCTTATGCCATTTGTTGTGGGATTTCACCGACAGGAAGCAATTCCACAAAAGGGGCAACTTCGCAGAATAGTTGAAGTGCTGTAGGAGATCCATGAGAGAATCCCAGTGGGAAGGAACATGCCGAGTGGGACTTCGCGCGATCTTCGAAGAGCTCTCCATTGAAGAACCACTGGACTCCACCTCCACCAGCTATTTGGCAGCTAAAGCTGTGATGGAGGAGTCCCGAGTGGGACTTCGATCTCTACATGGACATCGCGCCGCGCGCATCCTCACAAAGAAAGTAAGATCCGTCCAATAAATTTTTTGGTTCGTTGTACTAATAGAAGTATATTTTTTGAGGAACCACCAGTACTACGATCTCCGACCGACCTCTCCATTAGGCCTCCGAACACTACCACCACCAGCTACTTGGCAGCTTAAGCGGAGCTGGAGGACCCGCTGGCTTCTATAGGGAGGAGGAAAATAGAGCGCCCGCTAAGGAACAGTTTGAGAAGCCATAGCCAGCCATTGCCTGGATGATGGGCGACTTTCTGCAGCATCAGCGGATCAGCCCTGTTCTCCCACTTCCACAAGATCCAATATGCCTATTGGGACTCGGAGCTGTACTGCGGTGGAGCGGGAAAGATGGCGAAGCAACCGTGGGATGAGAAGGAAGCTTTAAACTACTAATTTACATAAATGAAAACATTCGTTGAACATTCCATTTTTATTTAAATTTCTTTGCGTAACAGCAGACTCCATCTTTTTAAATTTCTCCAATTCATTTGTTTTCCGTTTGGCAACAAACCCAGCTGCTTGACAGTAGGACCATGCTACATGTATTGCGGGTGAACTTTAAAAACTTCGGTCACACTACCAAGAATACGATTTTTAGACTAGTGAAACTCTTAGCCGATCTGAGTACTAGGCTTTAGCGGCCAACCTTATTTCCTCCTCCCTATAGAGGCCGGTGCGTCCTCCATCACCGCTTTATCTGCCAAGTAGCTGGTGAAGGTGGAGTCGCGCGAAGACCCACTCGGCATGTTCCTTCCCACTGGGATTCTCTCCTCCAGCACTTCAACTAATCTGCGTATATGCCCTGTTGTGGTATTGCTTCCTGTCGGTGAAGTCCCACAATAATGGGCAACAGCTTGGATTATGTGTCTTTTGTCATCAGCACTGACCTCTTGCAGGTGTTGGGGTTTTCCTCCCATTTTTAGTTTTTAGTTTCCACATCGCCTTTGCACGAACACCGCCAAAGATGAACTTTCTTGTTCCTTGGGCCGCGGCTAACGGCGTTCATCGAAAATTCACTTGGTAAATCTGGTATTTTTCTGATATTTCCTTAGCTCATCTGAGTAACGTGCTGAAAATCAGACCCGACGAAAAGCGTTAGCCGCGTGTTAGCTTCTCGCTTACTCTTTTTATGCTTTTTGTTATTATGTGTTAAATACTTAGTTAATCTAGAAACTCGACTTTTTTAGAATAAAAGTAAGAATATAAATGATACTCTAATTATTTTTAAGAACTTTCATAATTTTAAGAAAGTGAATCCAAATATTGGGTTTGATATACAAAATAGAATTTTAAATTTATATATTTATATTTATATTTATATTATGTATATATTTATGTACCTTATTCAGATATTCAGGCGTTTTAACTAACATTTTTAATGGTAGTTTAGTAATATAAGCATAGTACTCAGATCGGCTAAGAGTTTCACTAGTCGAAAAATCGTATTCTTTGTAGTGTGACCGAAGTTTTCAAAGTTCACCCGCAATGCATGTGTTACGGTCTTACTGTCAAGCAGTTTGGTTTGATATTGAACTTTAAAAAGGAGGAGTCTGCTGGTACACAATTAAATGAAAATAAAAATAAATGGAACGTTCAACGAATGTTTTTATTTATCTAAATTAGTAGTTTAAAGCTTCCTTCTCGTCCCACGGATGCTGCGCCGTCTTTCCCGCTCCACCGCAGTTCAGCTCCGAGTCCCAATAGGCATATTGGACCTTGAGGAAGTGGGAGCCGGATTGGGAACGGGGTTGATCCGCTGATGCTGCAGGAAGTCGCCCAGCATCCTGGCAGTGGCTGGCTAAGGCTTCTCCAACTGTTCCTTAGCGGGCGCTACATTTTCCTCCTCCCTATGGAGGCCAGCGGGTCTTTCAGCTCCGCTCAAGCTGCCAAGTAGCTGGTGGTGGTGGTGTACGGAGTACTAATGGAGAGGTCGTCGGAATTCACTTTCTTTGCGAGGAGACGCCCGGCAGGATGTCCATGTAGAGAGCCAAGTCCCAACGGGCATATTCCTTCCCACTGGTATTCTCTAGTGGATCTCCTCCAGCACTTCAACAATTCTGCAGATTTGCCACTGTTGTTTTGCTTCCTGCCGGTGAAATCCCACAATAAAGGGCAACAGCTTGGATTAGGCGTTCTATTTCATCTGCACTGACCTCCTGCATCATATTTTGGGGTTTTCCTTTCATTTTAATATTTAGTTTCCACATCGCCTTTGCACGAACACCGCCAAAGATTAAATTTCTTATTCTTTGGGTCGCGGCTAACGGCGTTCATCGAAAATTCACTCGCGAAATATGGTATTTTGTCTGGTACTTCCTTAGCACATCTGAGTACCGCGCTCAAAAACAGACCCGACGAAAACCTTTAGCCGCCTGTTTGCCTCTCGCTCACTCCTATGGTTAGCTCGCGGTTTC